AAACCCTAAACCCTAAACCCTAAACCCTAAACCCTAAACCCTAAACCCTAAACCCTTAACCCTTAACTCTAAACCCTAAACCCTAAACCCTAAACCCTAAACCCTAGTAAGCCCTGGTAAGCCCTAGTAAAGCCTAGTTAAGCCTAATAAACCCTCATAAACCCTCATAAACCCTAATAAACCCTCATGAACCCTAATAAACCCTCATGAACCCTAATAAACCCTGATAAACCCTGATAAACCCTAATAAACCCTCTCTTAAACCCTTATTTGAAGGCTATGTGATTGGGTTTGTACTTGGAGATGCTGAAGAATATCGCAGCAAATGAAGAGGGCTACTGAAACATCTCCTGAGCTGCTGCTATCCGAGAAGAGCTTTGAAACAAATCTTAAACAAACATCAATCGAAGCACTACCCAAAAACTCTGCTGCATGCCCCCTCATCAAAGCCCCAAACACTTCTACTAAAGCAGCACGTAAACTCTGCTCCTGCAGCAGCAAATGCAAATAAAGCAGCAGCAGCAGCAGCAGCAACAACAATAAATGTTACAGCAGCACATGCAGCTAATCAAACAGCACATCAAGCAGCAAATCAAGCAGCTAATGCAGCACATGAAGCAGTAAATGAAGCAGCAAATCAAGCAGCAGCAAATGAAACAGCAGCAGATGAAGCAGCTAATGCAGCAGCAGAAGCAGCAGCAGCAGCAGAAGCAGCAGCAGCACATGAAGCAGCAGCAGCAGCAGAAGCAGCAGCAGCAGAATGAGACAAATGCAGTAAATGAAGCAGCAAATCAAGCAGTAGCAAATAAAGCAGCAAATGAAGCAGTAGCAAATGAAGCAGCAAATGAAGCAGCAAATGAAGCAGCAAACGAAGCAGCAAATGAAAGCAGCAAAATGAAGCAGCAAATGAAGCAGCGCCGATATATATATATAGAATATAAACAATATTAAATGATATAATAAATAAAAAATTAATTTACTGCTTCTTCGTCCTCGAGAAGATCTGCGACATCTTCATCTTCAGCATTTGCTGCTGCTTCACGGCTTGCGATTAAAGCCTGTCTCCGCTCGCTGCTCTTTTGTAGCAGCTCCTGCGTCTTCGTCACCTGCTCGTACACCTGAAGCAACGAACAGCAAACAGAAAAATATCTAATCTTGCTGCTGATGCTGCTGATGCTGATGATGCTGCTGATGTTGCTGATGCTGCTGTTGCTGCTGTTGCTGATGGTGCTGCTGATGCTGATGGTGCTGCTGTTGCTGTTGCTGTTGCTGCTGTTGCTGTTGCTGATGGTGCTGCTGTTGCTGTTGCTGTTGCTGCTGTTGCTGCTGCTGCTGTTGCTGCTGCTGTGCTTAGCTGTGGTGTAAAGAGACAGTTATAAAGATAAGAGGAGACAGTTAAATGAGAAGTAAAGAGAATAAATAACTAAAAAAAGAAGCAGAAGAGACAGCTCAAAGCAATCAAAAGGAGACAGTTAAAAGAGAAGACAGCAAACAAACAACAAAAAATAAAATAAACAAATAAGAAGATAGGAGACAGTAAACAAAGAGTAAAGGAGACAGATAAGAAGAAGAGAGAGACAGCAATGTTAAGGATATAGCAGCGTACTTCTTGTTTATTTAATACATTGCTTCCTGCTGCTTCTATTGCTTTGGCTAGGGCAGACGCTTGCGTCTGTGCTGCTTCAGCATCGTCTGCTGCTGCTGCTAAGGAAGCAAAAGAAGTATTAAGAAGTACAAGCAGCAGCTGTCTCTTCAACTCTTGATGCTGAGGACAGAGAGCTAGAAGAGACAGCAATGCTGCTGCTGCTTCAATACTTTTTTCTTTAATACTGTCTGATAATATATGCTTAAGTAGGGGTGATAGAGTTTCTGCCGTTTTATATAAAAGCCCTCGAACTTCTTCTGCTGTTGCTGCTGCTGCTGCTGCTGCAGCAAGACTCTCCTGCAGCACCAGCAGCACTGTCTGCAGCAGCTCTAATGCTCTCTCCTGCTCTTCTAACAAAGCTGTTCGCAGCCCGACACCCTTTGCGTCTTCTAATACGACGTACGTCATATCCTGCAGACACAAACATACACATGAAGACATGCCCGCGCTGCTGCTGCTGCTGCTGCTCCTCCTCCTCCTGATGATGCTGATGCTGCTGATGCTGCTGATGCTGCTGATGCTGCTGTAGATGCTGCTGCTGCTGCTGCCGATGTTGCTGATGCTGATGATGCTGATGATGCTGCTGATGCTGATGATGCTGATGATGCTGCTGATGCTGATGATGCTGCTGATGCTGATGATGCTGATGATGCTGCTGATGCTGCTGATGCTGAAACCCCAACCTGTAACCCCCAAACCCTAAACCCTAAACCCTAAACCCTAAACCCTAAACCCTAAACCCTAAATGTAATGTGCGTACGTCGAATTCAGCGTCTTCTTCTGCTTGTTGTATTTCTTCAGTGCTGAGCGTCTTGGGCTGTATAGACAGCACAGAGAAGATGTGCGGCAGCAGCTTCGGTAAGAAGGGTACGAAGTCTGCTTGCATAACCCTGCAGAGACGAGAGATAGCTTCAGCTAAATACTCTCTTATAGCTTCTGTCTCTTCACCCTCAATCATACTGCTGCTGCTGCTGCTGCTGCTGCTGTTGCTGCTGCTGCTGCTGTTAGTTGCAGCTAATAATGAAGCTTCTGTCAGACTGTACAGCTCCAGCAGCTGAGTCACGACGAAGCCGCTGTCTGCAGCAAAAACTTCTCGTCCTAGCAGCACAACAAAATATATATATTAAACTTCTTCAAAATAAATATATTATTTTATATATATATTATTATTATTATTATTATAAACCCTAAAACCCTAAACCCTAAACCCTAAACCCTAAACCCTTAACCCTCTTGAAGGTTTATTTCTCAATCAAAAACCCGAAACCCAAGTCAATGCCTTCCCTCGCCCCCTAAACCCTAAACCCTAAACCCTAAACCCTAAATCCTAAACCCTAAACCCTAAACCCTTATACTAACCAACGCTGTATCCAACAATGGATGCGGCTTCAATGGCTTTGCATCGGAGGCTGTTGAGTAGCGCGAGTTCTTGGGGATTATGCTGCTGCTGTTGCTGCTGCTGCTGCTGCTGCTGCTGGGGTGTATCGACCATGAGCTTCATCAAAGCAGGCAGCACAGAAGAATAGAAAGGTGTGAAGTCTTCGCCTAAGACGCCGGCTATTACTGCTATGCACGTCACAGCATGCTGTCGCACCAACAAAGCTGAGAACAAACAAACAAACAAACAAACAAACAAAAACTGCTGCTGTACATCTATTCAAAAACAGCTGCTGCTGCTAGTGCTGCTGTTGCTGCTGATGCGGCTGTTGCTGCTGCTGCTGATGCTGCTGATGCTGCTGATGCTGCTGATGCTGCTGACGCTGCTCCTGCTGCTGCTGCTCCTGATGCTGCAGCTGAAAGGGGTGCTGCTTCTGCTGCTGCAGCTGCTACTACTACTACTGGGGGATAATGGGGATGTTGGTGCTGCTGCTGTTGCTGCTGCTGTTGCTGCTGCTGCTACCGCTACTGCTGCTGCCGTTGCTGCTGCCGTAGAACTTATGTTTTCTCTGTGCGCATATGGTGTTAGGGCTATCGCTGCAAAGGTCTTAGGGTTTAGGGTTTAGGGTTTAGGGTTTAGGGTTTGTACGGGAATCGGTGTCTGCGAGTTGCAGAACTTTGGGCATGACGGTCGGCAGCAGCTGCAGCATTTGCTGCTTCTCGAGCTCCTCAGCAAAATTAACAAATGCAGCGCATGCATGACTACGCACTCGCGGTGTCTGTGCAGACACCCAAACACAAACAACACAAGCAATAGCTATCTAGCTAGCTAGCTAGATAGCTAGCTGGCTAGCTAGATAGATAGCCAGCTAGATAGATAGACAGCTAGATAGCTAAATAGCTAGAAAGTTAGATGGGGAACTAGGTGGGGAGCGGGCTAGCTAGCTAGCTACCTAGCTAGATAGCTAGCTACCTGGCTATCCATCAATCTAGCTACCTATCTAGCTAGCTATCTACGTAGATACCTAGCTACCCATCAATCTAGCTAGCTACCTAGCTACCTAGCTATCCATAAATCTAGCTAGCTAGCTATCTAGGTAGCTAGCTACCTACCTACCTAGCTCTCTAGCTAGCTAGCTAGATAGGCAGCTAGGTAGCGACTTGTGAAGGTAGCTAGCTAGGAGTTGAAAGCGAGTAAGGGGGAGCACATACGGGGTCAGAGAAGCAAGCAATTAAAGGGTTAAGAAGCTCAGCAGCAAACTCTTGCTGCACTGTAGGTGAGTGCTCCAGAGACAGCTGACCCAAGCACTGACACGCCGCAAAACGGACGCGAAAGTCGCAGTCTCCTAAACCCTGACGAAGTGCAAATAGAACAGCACAAACAACTGCTGCAGTCTATTCAAGCAACAACCCCTAATTGTCTCCTAGTCGGAGACGTGCTGCTGCTGCTGCTCCAGCAACAGCAGCAGCAACAGCAGCAGCAGCAGCAGCAGCAGCAACAGCAGCAGCAGCAGCAACAGCAACAAGAACAGCAGCAGCAGCAGCAACAGCAACAGCAGCAACAGCAGCAGCAGCAGATGAGGCATACCTTTGCGACGGTATGAACAACAGCAGCAAGTTGCTGCTCTTCTTCAGCTGGTAGATACTCTGTTGTTTGTGAAATAGCAATAAGAGCAGCAAATCGATACACCCATTTGCTATGACTAACGAATGTCTTTAACTCTTCAGCCAGCAGCGGCAGCACATGCGTTGCTGCAGACAAAGCCTCCCGCTGCTGCCTCCCCTGTCTCCCGCTGCTGCTGCTGCTGCTGCTGCTGTCTTCTTCGTCTCTCTCAAACGCATTTGCTAAGCGATCAAGACCCTCCTCTCCTATGCAGTATAACCGTTGCTCCTAAACACACACATCAACATCACCCTCATTCTGCTGCTGCTGCTGCTGCTGCTGCTGATGCTGATGCTGCTGCTGCAGTAGCAGCAAGAGCAAGAGCAGTAGCAAGAATAGATCCAGCAGCAGCACGCACAGCAGCAAAAGCAGCAAAAAACGAACAGCAGCAGCAGAAAGAGTACACCCAACAGCAAGACCTTCAGCAGCAGCAGCGGCAGGTCATGCAGCAGCAAGAGCCGCAGCAGCAACACTTGCAGCAGCAACACCCGCAGCAACAGCAAGACCCGCAGCAGCAGCAACAGAATCAACACCCCTAGCAGCAGCAACACCCCCACCACCAGCAGCAGCAACAACACCCCCCGCAGCAACAGCAGCAGCAGCAGCAGCAGCAGCAGCAGCAGGAGTGAGAAGCTGACATCATCATGATCTTCGCCTGTTTCAAACCAGGCTTCATACTCGCTGCTTTCTGCATGCAGCAGGCATCTGAGTAGGGTGCGTATTAATTCTTTTAAGCTGCCTATACACCCCAGCATGTGCTGAGGCTTCGTCTCTGCATAACACAGCAAACATTCAATTGCGAGTCGGCGTAGTGTCTCTGTTCCGTCTGCATGCTCTTCTGTTGCAGCGCATGCAGCCCCAGCAATACAACCACCTGCTGCTGCTGCTGCTGCTGTTGGTGGTGGTGCTGCTGCTGCGCCTGCCGCCGCCGTTGCTGCTGCTGCTGCTGCTGCTGCTGCTGCTGCATTTGCGCCAGCAGCAAGAGCAGGTACTTCTGCTCCTGCGTTTGCAAGAGCCGTGAGATAAGAAAGAAAGTCAGATAAGTCGGGCTTTAATAATGCAGCACCACCGCCTCTGTCTGCTTCTACTAATTCTACAGTCAGCCCCAACGCCCTGCAGCAGCAGCAGCAGCAGCAGCAGTAGCAGCAGCAGAAGCAGCAGAAGCAGCAGCAGAAATAGCAGCAGGAACGGTTAAGAAAGCAGCAAAATAGCAGGGGGAAGAGCAGCAGAAGGCTGCAGCAGCAAAACCCTCTAATTCATAATACTGCAGCAATGCTGCTCTCATTAACATATGCAATAACACAACAGCAGCAGCAGCAGCAGCAGCAGCAGCAGCAAGAGCAGCATCATCATCATCAGCAGCAGCAAAAGCAGCAGCAGCATTCCCATCAGCAGTAGCAACCCCAGCAACAACACCAGCTACAACAACAGCAGCAGCAGCAGCAGCAGCAGCAGCAACAGCAGCAGCTACAACAGCAGCAGCAGCAGCAGCAGCAGCAGCAGCAGGTGGTACCTTTCTGCGAGTTGGAAGTCTGGGGTCTGCCCCTGCGCTGTCTCTGCTGCTGCCTGCCGCAGCGCAGCCTCAATGCATGCAACAACAAGTAGAGACACTGAAGCTCCTGTTATTGCTATCTTCCGATATACATCTGCAGCAGCAGCAGCAGCAACAGCAGCAGCAGCAGCAGCACCAGCGGATGGCCAGCAGCCGCACCAGCAACACCATCATCACATATGCATCTGCAGCTGCAGCATCATCATCGTCAGCAGCAGCATCAACACCAGAAGCAGCAACAGAAGCAGCAGCAGCAGCAGCAGCAACAGCAACAGCAGCAGCAACAGCAGCAACAACAACAGCAGCAGCAGCAACAGCAGCTGTTCTCACTTCTCTGCCCGTCTTCAACGAGAGCAACAAGCAATGCGAGCGCCTCAACATTTGTTTCTGCTGTAGCAGCAGCACTAAGTGCTGCTCTTACAGCAGCAGCAAGCTGCAGCACTTGCTGCTCATTTTGAAGGTAAGGAGAGAGAGAAGGCGCAGCATCTGTCAAGACCTGCAGTGCTGCTTGCTGCTGCGCTGCTGAAGAAGACAGCAGCAAACTCATTACTGATGAAAGCAGGTCCTCCCACTGACCCTCTGGCAGCAAATCAGCAGCAAGATCTGCTGCTGTGCTGCAGATGTTGCTGCGAACTGTTTTGCTGCTCTCCTTAGCTAAGCAGAGCAGCAGCTGCTGCCGCACTTGCTGCTGCACTGCAGCAGATAGATAACCCCACACATTCGTCTTGCTGCTCAGGGGGCCTCTAAAAGCTAAAGAACGCAGCAGCACAGCAGCTTGCAATCGTAGCTGCTCTTCTGGGTGCATAGACAGCGTCTCTAACAAATAACAAATAAACATATCTGCTGCTGTTTCTTTTAGTTCTGACAAAGAGGCTTCAGCTTGTCTGCGTACACCGCAATCGTCGCTTAATGTACCCTCCAATAAACTGCAAAACTTTGATGCATCCATCTTCAAGGGTTTAGGGTTTAGGGTTTAGGGTTTAGGGTTTAGGGTTTAGGGTTTAGGGTTTAGGG